TCCATATTTAACAGTACCACAGTCACATTAATGTAAATTTATAAGTATTGCTAGTAAAGATCTAGTTGAACCCCTCTCCACAAAACCCAGGGTCCATCCCTAATAAAAGCTGTTGTTTTTTTTTACATTGTGTTATTATTTCTAATTTGCATAACTCATTAATGACAAATAAACTATAAACTTTCTCTCTTTACATTGTCTATGTATTATGTTTGTAACACCATAATTCCTATTTCCTGAATTTGTTTTCTGGTGGAAGATGTGACTCACACTGGCATGTTTGGAACTATGAACTTTCTGATAGTGGAGCAGACGCTACTGATTCTGCAACCTCTCTCCCACTTCTGAATCAGTATTCTTTATCCACTTTTTCATGCTAGTCATTTAACAATGTGATAAATTATAAATTTATATTTTATAATAATCTAATAGATCAATAACATGTGGCACCATTAACTTGTTTTACTTTGTTAGCCTGTTCATATGAACAAAACTCTAGGTCAATTGTAACTAGTTCTACTACATGTATGTTGTAAGAAGCATTGAAAAATGAAAACAAAAGTCTGGCTGTAGTCACATGCACCACAGTCAAGTCCTAGTAAGTAGTAATGCTAATATATACAAGTTGTTTGTCTTACCGATTTTTTGTCATTCAGATTAAAGACAGTCGATTCAGAGCAGCATAATTATAGGGTGAAAGCATATGCAGATACATAAGTATTGGTTTGGACAAGCAAACTAGATTAGCAGTTTCTAGTTCAAGTTTTCAAAAGAATAGTACAGGTGGATGGTCCTATTATTCATTGCCAGCTTCTAAGTATAAATTTACTAAATTTTATGAAATTCTCCTAATTAAAGAGCATTTAGCATTACATATTAGCTTATGCAATTATTGTAATTAATGGTAAGTAACGATGCTTGATACAGCCCTACCAAGTGCATGTGAGTGATGACAAGAAACTGGTAATCTAAATTTTATGGCATTACTATAGAGAAAATTATATTTTGAAGAACTTGGTTGGTTCTGTAAATTATGGATGTTCCGAATAATGTTCCTAAAGCTAATGTTGTATATTATCGAGTGTCACTTTCTTACTTGCTGTGGTTTGTTGATGTGTATTGACAAAAAGTCACGATATCTAATCAGAAACACCTTATTGTTGTAAAATTCTTATCAATGTTATAAGTGCAACTATCAGTTTCGCTGCCAATTTTGATTTAAGTCCTTTAAATCACATGCTCAGTCCTTTTCTTGCCACACCTTTTTTTCACACCTAAGGTGTTTTTGATTAGATTAAATCCACATGCTGTTTTAGCAGAATTCTTTGTTATATATGCATGAAGTTTTAATAAAATAAAAAGTATTTGTTCAAATATTTGTTTTATATATATACACACACACACACACACAAAATTCATTTTCTAACTGCTTTCAAACTTTGTTAGATAAGCTTGTGTCTAATAAAAGTCTTACTTTACAAAAAAGAAAAAAAAAGGTTATTCTAATTTTTTTGTTCCTTTAATTTAAATTTAGGGTATTTAAAGAATACCCAAAATACAAGGTTTATACATATTTGCCCAATAAAATTATTTAAGATTATTCATTTCCCTTGGTTATAAACTATTTGAGTAACTATGTAGTTATAGTGTGAACACTTGAGGCTCCAAAATTATTGCAAACAAACTTGTAGACATGTAAATTGATACTGAGTTGTCTGGAAAAAACAGTATATTGCACGTAGTATTGTTGTAATAGGTGATTGATGTTGCATAAATCTCTCGTTGTTTTTAAATGAATGCATGAGATTTAGACAGCTTTAGACTTTAGAGGCATCCATTATCCCTGATACAAGTCCTTCCAAAACTTTTCAGCTAGTGGCACACATTTAACATCTCAAAATTTTGCAGCACATGCAAATAAGTCTGTATGGCAAGCCT